GAAGCAATTGTAGTGGCTAGGCTAACTTTATTCCTTATGTCAATGAAGCCGAAATTTTTTTATACAAAACAATAAACATACCAAGTTAGATATACCAAAACTACACTGTGAAGGTATACCAAAAACAATAACAAAATAGTAGTTTATTCTTGAAACTAATTTGCAACACTGTTTTGTCTTTTGGTTGAAATGAAAATCGCAACGAGATAATGAAAATCGCAACGCGAAATGACTATCGCAACGAGAGAATCGCAACGCGAAATGACTATCGCAACGAGAGAATCACAACGCGAAATGAAAATCGCAATGCGATTTTGGTTTCGCGTTGCGATTTTCATTTCGCGTTGCGATTCTCTCGTTGCGATAGTTATTTCCGCGTTGCGATTTCATTCTCGAAACTATTCTTCTTCTGCATTACTTCAACCAAAAGACAAAACAAAGACAAATACTAACTTCACAGGCTAAACAATTTAGCAGTATTGGCAGCATCAAAATTTAATAAGAAATCTAAGTGAAATGGTTAATCTATTATTGAAATTACCAGTAAAACTTATCATCAATCTCAATATGAAAAACCTAAAATAATGCAAAAATTTCAAAAAAAAAAAAACTAACCCTCGGATGTTGATTTTCCATTTCTGAATGATTGTGAGGGATTTCTGACCGTGAATGGTTGTGAGGGATTTCGCCGGCGATGGGGACGGAAATCTTCGGAGATGGGACGGATTTCGCCGTAGAGAGTGAGATGGAGATGGGACTGAGTTGTGATTTTAGGTTTGAGGTTATGAGTTGCGATTACTGTGGACGGTTCAGTTTCCGATATATTAAGAAAAAATTCGTGTTTGGAATTTGAAAAAAAAAATACGCGTTACATGCGCTATGTAAATTGCATTGCGATAGTAAGATTCGCATTGCGATTTACGTATTTGCATTGCGATTTTCCTAATTCGCATTGCGATTTATTTAATCGCGTTGCGATTTATGTATTCGCATTGCGAATTATGAAAATCGCAACGCGAATACGTAAATCGCAATGCGAATTAGAAAAATTGCATTGCGATAGTCAGTATCGCATTGCGATTTACGTATTCGCGTTGCGATTTTCATAATTCGCAACGCGAAATTGGAAAATCGCATTGCGATAGTCATAATCGCGTTGCGAATCTAGAAACTGATTTGCGATAATGGAGATCGCGTTGCGAATTAGCGATCGCATTACGATTTTGTTAGTCATTTTGGCAAATCCTAAAAAAGTTGGTTAAAATCGTATATTATATGAGATTTTTGGTCACTGAGGTTATTTTCTCTAAATTTTATCATATCATATTCAACAGATTAACATTCATCTTAAGATGCCATTAATTTTTTTATCAAAAATAAATAAACTTAGAATATATAAATAATTAAATGATATTTTATAATTTTTAATAATTAAATTAATTATTATTGTGTTTACTGACTCTGCTCCCTCGTCTCTGCAGCTTGTCAAACGCACAGTTACCGCAACACACGCCTATTGGCTGCCCGTCTAGCCCTCACGCCTGTTAATCCCTAGTCTCGTTTTGATAGGCCTATATAACATTCAAAATATACTGACAATCAGCTCAACTACAACTCGCCTACAAATTTAGAATGACGATGGACACCGTCGATCCCAATATCTGATCTCATTCAAATTTTGTGAATTGGATAATATTCCAAAATTAATCATAATGATTATAAAGAAATATTTTAGTTTTATAATTAAATATGTTTTTGTTTTCGCGTATTGTTTTCTTTTTAATTTGAGTTTAGATAATGACATCTATATATATTTGGGTGTCTATGTTTTATATAAAAATTTATAAAGAAACTTCATTTTTTTAAAGTGATGTCAAATTTTAATATTTTTTATATAAAATTTAGATAAATGTGTAAAATGACACCATTGTCGCAAAAAAATTACAGCAATATCAAAGCTTATGCTCGTACTGGGAACTAAAAGCCCAAAGCTTTATGGATTTTCATTTTCATTGCTTGAATGATTAAGTTTTGGTTTTTTTTCAATACCGAAAATTAATTGTCCCAATAAGGCACACCAAATTTTTTTTTTGGCAATCTACGATAATACTATAGTAAAAGGGTGATTCGTCGCCTCAAGTAACGAATTTTGTTCGATATATTATTTTAATGGTCACAATTTAGTGAGTCTCATGTGGGCTATTATTTAATGTATTTAACACACTCGTCACCTCGACGTGAAGAGTCTTTAAGAAATTATATTTTTTAAAAGTGATTTGTAAAATTAATTAAAATATAAAAATCCGATGTAACTCATCGTCAGGGTGACAAGTTCCGCGTGAATTAAAAAACTAGTAGTTTGGAGTTGATTTTTTATAAAAAAGTAGTCTTTTGTAGTTATTGGGATTGGGGTTATGAATAAGGGTTGGTGTTAGGATTTTATTATCTATTGTTACGAAAAAAATTGAGAAAAATTGTAGTTTCTAAAGAATTCCAAAAAAATATCTTCTCATAAAAGTGTTACGCCTTGATTTCGACCTGTACCCAACTACATTTTTACATGGTTTTAATGTAAAACCGACATTGATTTCGGCTCTGGTTGAACGTTGGAGGTCCGAGATGCATATTTTTCATTTTCTGAGTGGTGAAGCGACGATTACGTTGGAAGTTGTCACTTATCAACTCGATGTTCCAATTAATGGTGCGACCGTGAGGCGGAACAATTACAATTGATTCAGTGTTTTTCAAGAAGTTTTGCGAAGGATGCCGTCGCTCGAGGTCTTAGAAGGGTATCGGATACGAATCACTTGATTGGAGATCGAATTTAAAGTGACGAACGATTCTACCGAGGATGAGCTCATATTTGCAGCCAGAGCGTTCTTCTCCAATTGATTGGAGAGATATTATTAATAGATAAATCCAGTAATTTGGTACACACTCAATATCTTCTTATATTAAATAATTTTATTGAGTGTCATAATACTAGTTGGGCTTGACGATTTTTGCCTTTTTATACCAGGAACTATACAAGGCTATAATCGTCGAAAAGGGACAAAAAGCCGATGTAGCGGTTGTCTATTATTGTTACAGTCTTGGGCTTGATATCGGTTCCCTTTTTTATGCTAATTACATCAACCTCGATTGAGTTTCCTCTTGCTGCAAGGTAATTTCTTAACTTTATTTTTTAACTACATTTTAATTTGTTTTTAATTTTAATATTTTTCAGATACCACCATAAAATAACGAGACCAAGTTGTCGGATGGAACTAAAAAAGATATATGAACGAGGATTGACATTGTCGGTCGACGTGTGATAAATATTCAACTGCATTATATTAGTTATTTTTATTATTTTTTGAAATTGTTTAACTTTACATAAACTAACTTTTATAATTAATGTTTACAGTCTTTTTGGCTTCCGTATTGTGACGAAGAGATATACCGGTTACTGCCAACGATATTTTTAATGGGCCAGAGCTATGGTGTGTTGTAACGTCTTTATTACACATTGTGATTGTTGAGATGCACGCTGCAGATAGATTATTGTGATAGTTTGTGTCTCATTAACCAATTCATACTCAAATATTTGATATAGAGGAGCTCCATAGAATTGATACACGTGGGGAGTATATCGAAAATTGACCGAGGAAGAACATTGTCTACATTGAGTAATGGAATCAATGTAATTTTATCGGTCACTGTGCGTTACGAGATTACATATATCGACTTAGATTTTGACCTTTCTCCCTATATCCGAAATTATGAAGCAAATGAGAAATCATATTTCGCGACACCAGAGGAGATGGAAGAATGGGAACAACACAAGGCCAGATTCGCAAAGTCGAAGAAATCATCGTCATCTTATTCTTCTGCTTCTACCGATTATTTTGCATCTCAGGCTAGTTTTGATTGTTATCCTCCATATCATACTTTAACCGAGACTCAGTCGACTTGGGTTGGAGGTTCATAGATGCAATTCAACACATTCAAGCATTTTCGACATAACATGCGGGTGAGGGTGAATGTAATCATATAATATATGGTCAACAAGGTAGCCAAGTCGATTCAATGACGACAATGATGGAGTCAAATACCATAAGTATCTCGTCACTGTCTTTTTAAGGTGAATTTTGGAGTGTGTTCAATACACCTTCTCTTCAAGAAGCAAATGAAGATGTAGACGAAACGACCCCGGCGTACTCGACGAGCCCTACGCTATTATCATTCTACCACTCTTCAGTATCATCAATAACTAAGAAAACATAAATAACTTTTATTATATGTGTACTAATTTGTAAAAACTCTTTTATTATTTTTGTAATAAAATTATTAATTTACTTTTTTAAATATATATATATATATATATATATATATATATATTAATCTGACTGAACTGATTACCTCGAGGTGACGACTTTCATGATGAACGTTGGCATTTGATCGTTGTTTTTGCATGTTGCCCCACGGCTCTAAACCGCTAGTTTTTTTTAATTCAGAGGGAGCTCGTCACGTCCATCGATTTTTTTCTTTTTATTTTTTAATTATTTACAAAATATTTCAAAAAAATATTTTTTCAAAGAACTTGTCACGTCAAGGAATAGTTTCGTTAAATACATTAAAATAATAGCTCACATAAACCCACTAAACTGAGACCAATAAATAAATATCTAATAAAACTCGTCACCTCAAAATGATAAATTCCCCCTATACTATAGCATTTACTGTATATTGAAAAAGTGTCTTATTAGGCCAAACAATTTTCGGATTTTCAGTATTGGGCCAAAAAACTCCTAAGTTTTGCCTAATAATTCAACGTACTCAATAGTACGACGCTGAAGAACAAGGACCTAATAGTAAAAAGATGTTATAACACTAATCAAAATTATATAACATGATTAATTGTCTTTAATTGTTTGCTTATTTTTTAAAAGATTAATTGATGCAATTTTAAAATAACAAGTACTTATTTAGGTTATTTCCCAACATAAATGTATAACAAATCAAAATCGTACTGCTCGTAATTGTCCTTCTATTAACAACAATCTGTAAAGCTCACAGACCCTGAACTAACCTAAGGCGGAGGTTCAAGATAAAGTTGGTCTTAAACGGCATGGATTGGGCTCCCATTTAAACTACGAGAAGCCGGATTGGCATGGAAAGCAGATTGCCTGGATGATCCGTCGAGTCTTAATGAAAGTGACGATGGGCGATTGTCACCGATACATTCTCCCAAACTCAGTTTCGACATGCCCACCAGCTCGTCGACATTGATCGGGCTTGTCGAATGTACTGCTGTTGGCTTGACCACTTCATGTGTGTCAGTCTTGATCGGTTCTGTGTTGTAACCCATCCAATACGGAAATAGTAACGGAAAGAATGGTGGGCGATGCACTACCGGGTAACAGGGTTGCGAGCTCTCCATTGTTGGAGGAACTGGTTCCCCATCGTTCGAATCATAGGAATCCATTGCTTCGTCTTCTTCATCCAATGGAGGAGGAATACACAACTGGTCATTGCTCTGTGTTTCAGCTTGCGGAGGCTCTGCAGAGAACAAATCCTGTGATACCATCGGTGTATCGCCCGACTGCAAGAAAGTGAAGAACACCCCGAAATAACTCAGTTAAAATAGGCGATGTTACTCAGATTCGGGATTAAGTGCACTAATGAAATGATAAACTCCAACAACAAAGAACAAATCTCCACGGACAATAATGCAAACCTCAAGGATATGTCCATCCTATTCATAACTATTCATACAAAAATTAATGACAATTGAGGTATCATTCAATAGAGAGAAGGGCACTAACTTCATCCGCTATGATATCGAAAAGGCTGGAACGCCTTTTTCTCCTAGAAACATTGGTCTGCCTGATGAAATATTTCTGAGCATGGCTAGCTACTTGAGTAGGAGTTCTTGATATAACATAATTGCGCGAGATTCCGCGCCAATCACCTTTCCCAAGCTTCTGCAGACCAAGTAGAAACATCCGATGCTCCTCTTCAGTCCAAGGAACACCTGCAAAACAAATTACAACCCAATTCAACTGCGGAAACTACGTATGCCCTTTCTTACCATACTAATACTTCAACAAACCGATGAGCGGAAGGATCACCTAGCCATTGCTATCACCTTGTAAACTCTCGACTTTTAATATCATGAGCGACGTATAAATGATCAATATGTTTAGTGTGTCCAAAACTAGAAACATGTTGCTAGCCATCAAGCACAAACATATATGTAAAAAAACATTATATGAAGCTCAAAACTCGATCGAGAATAAAATCCGGTAATCATTCATTTGGAATGAAAATTAATCCCAAAAACTTAAGATCATATCATAAATATTCAACAATTCCTTTAGAACCCATTGAATGGCATCGGTGATAAAAAGGATTGTTTTTCTCCCTAGAGGTCCCGGATTTGGGCAGCTGATGCGTGCAAGTTATCATGACTAAGAAAAATTCTAATATGATACTACTTTATAACCATCCAACTATTTAAAAAAACGATTTTGAATTTGTCTAAGTGAACCTATTCCATATCTATATTTGAGCAGAAGCAAATACTCAAGAATTTTGAACTCTTACTCATATCATCATCAGTCATCACTCATGGTCTTTAACCTAATTACCCAAATAATAAAAACTTAAAAACAATTAAGCAAATAATAAAATAAGAAAAACAGTCATTTTAGCCCATGAAAGAAATGAAACCTTTCTTCCTATCACGACTGGAAGACGATCCAGGGACAAAATCCTCAGAAGCATAACCATCGGCGTGATCTGGGCCGTCACCGGGCGAGCCCGACCCGTTTCCGTTATGCAAGACTGAATTCGAGCAGGAGAATTGGGATAAGTTACTCATACTGGCGCTCTTCCGAATCAACCCGTCAGTCAACCGAACTCCGAACAGCTTGACCCCACGGTTCGGGCAGGTCCGGTAATTGTGCCCGTTGTGGCCGCAATGCGAGCAGCGACGCGCCATTTTTGAAGGTCGGTGGTTTCGTTTAGGATCAGGTCAGTTAGGGAAGTATAGAGATAGATTGGAATCGGATATTGGATGATGAATCAGACCCGAAGCACATCCAAGCTAATGCTAGGGCTTTGCTTTTGAACCTCAAACAAAAACGAATTTGACCTCTTGCTTTATATGGTTCCTTTCTTTTGGACCGTCTGTGTGTTATTTATAGGAGAGAAAAAATGGAGAGACAAGACAATATCCGCATGATACATTATCTTTCTTTTTTTCTCTCTCCAATTATTACAGATGAAATTAAATGATCTGGTCCTTCGCAGGTGTTTTGCAAACATTTAGATACGACACGTGTACGGTATGATTGTCCCTGGGAAGTCCGGATCCAAAATGAAAAGTTTGGTTGATATATTTGGACCGTCCACATGGAGAAGGAAAGTTCTTTAAAATGAGACGTGTAGCATATTATAGCGGATAATATTGAAGATAAAACTAAAAGGGATTTATTATACAAAGCTTTATCCAGAGTAACAGGTATTTTATCGTTCTTTTTTTCACTTACGGACCCAACAAAATAAAACTATTGTTCTAATAATCCTTTTTATGTTCTATTCAAAAGTATTAATTATAATCTCTTTTTAGTGGGACCAAATTGCTAATCGACGGCTCTGATCTTCGGATCCTAATAGATGTGATTAATACAATGAAATTCATTCTTAAACAATGTTTTAATTTTCCAAGCTTTATTTTTTTTTCTGCCTTTCCATATTGGCCCCTTATCTACTCGTGTTTTGTTTCATCTTAACGTGTCTGTATATATAATCTACATACTTCTGAACATTCCTCAAATCAAGTATAATTTGCACTTAACTACAATTAAACCTAAATCCTCCTAGACAATACAATAACAATTTCTTAAATCAAAATATAATATGCACTTAGATACATTTATCATGCTCAATGCTAATGATTAAGATAGAATTTATTTCTCTTCTCTATTCTTCTACATCAAAACACTGGATTAAAAAGTGTCCTTTAACTGTGGATGTAATTGGCTGGCGACCTGTTCAATCCAATTGCAACATAATAACTTACACTCTGTTTCATTTTTCTAACATTCAGCATTGCCTGGATAGTATCATTACACGAATCTTAAAACACCAAAATTATGGGCCATCCTTCATGACCAACGAGGTCTTTCATCTTCTCAAGAATCTCCTCCTTCGCCCCCTCACCGGGGTTGCACCAACTTGCATGGTTCTGTCCGGACTTTGCCCTTCATCAACCGCTCGTTTCATCGGATCTCCATCTTGGTCCTTCCTGTGCATTTCTGTCCTCCAAAGACCTCTCTCCCTGGCTGCAAATATCCAAAACAGGAAACAAAGTGTAGAAATCCTCCGCATTCTGAAGTTAAAAGGAAAATAAAGTGTAGAAATCGAAATCTTTACCTCCAGAGCCATCCATTAAGTCTTCAGTAGGAAGCACATTCCGATGACCGTCATCTCTATCTGATTGACCCCTCTTAGCAGAAATATTTGGTTGTAAGTTATGTGCCAAACCTTTAAACAATCCAAAGTTACTGCTAGGTGTAGAGGCAGGATTAGCTGTCAACCTCCGGGAATAAGGAGGACTTGCATTGTGGACTTGTTTAACAAACCCATTTTGCTCAGACTCTGAAATGATTTTATCAGGTTGTTTTTCTCGTAGGTGTCTGCTTGAAAGCTCTCTTGATGAACTCTGACCGATACCTTTTAATGGTGTAGCAAATATGGGACTTGCACGATGAATTCCAGGACTAAAGATGTTCTCAAATTTGAAGTTTTTGCTTCCTTCAACGTTTGATAATCTTTCTGCATCTACAAATAATTTCCCAGGGAGAATTGATGTAGATACATGGGTCCCGGCTTCAACATGAGCATTGTTGACATATTCACCCAATATTTTAGGAATTTCAGAAACGGGTTGTCTCAAAGGAGTAGCCATATGGTCTGGTTGAAGAACAATAGATTCAGAAGTGGAGGGAACCAACAAACTCGCTGATTTTGGTTCTTGCAATTCACGGAAACCAGTTCTTGTTGGCGTTTCGTCCTCCTGATGAGAAGTAACTAATATATCAGGCAATGTTCCAGTCTTCACTTGTTGTTGAAGGACTTCTGGAAGCAATTCTATACCTTTATCCTATTGAAGAGAGGGTACGCAAGTCAGTAGATTCTCAATAAAAGCTATTTGCTACTGGTAACCTTCAAGCTTCACCAAGAACGGAAAAGAAAAGATAAAAATGATAGAATTGAATTTATTTTAATAGCAGCAAAAATGACGATTAAGATTAAACAACTTACAACCAATTTTTTCCTCCTGACGATGTGATTCCATACTTGATAAAGCTTCTAGAAATTTTTCATCACCAGAATGGGCTGAAATGAAATCTTCCTCTAAGCTCCAAAGTTTAAAATTGACTTCATATGCCTCAACATACCGATAGCGCTGGATTAGTAACAGAAATCAATATAATAAGCTCCAGTAATACACTAATACATGTTAAGAATAATCTATTTAACCTAGAAAAGAAACACTCCTAAAGTGATGTTAGAATCCAATGGACTGGCCACAAATGAGAATTATATAGAATCTGACAGTTAAAATGAGATTCACAAAATCTACTTGACGCCTAAATAAAGACCAAGTATCCACGAACAAGAACCAAAATGTTGCATCATTCAATGCAGTAGTATCTGGATATTAAGTTAAAATGACATTTGACTCAAGATGATATAAATCCCTTCATTGATCTTGCATAGCTCCGTACATTACCTGAAGATAGAATACAACAAGGAGACTTCCAATAGTAGATGTGGGGTTATCAGTTGCACAATCTAACAGGCATTTGTGAATATATTTCTCCTCTTCACCATTCCACGGTAATTCTATTATTTGATCAACCACATTCCTCCTGATGCATAAACAACAGAACTCAGTCACCAGTACTTCTATCCAGTCCATCCAAGACCTGCATTGACCTTTGAAGTCATCAAATGCATCCCCGCTCAGTTCATATTTGAACTTCTTTTCCCGGACTTTTATACAGATCATTCGCTGATATGCAAATGCTTCAGTCAATAGTGCACACTCCACTTTCACCCGAACAATAGTAACAGCCTCGGTAAGTGAAACCATCTGTGATCCACCATCACGGCCAGACCCGCGTATCACCATTTGTGCTGCCTTAGGATTCTGCCTTTCTAACAGAACTTGTGCAATCTTTGGATGAGTTTCTGGGCCAGAGATTTCAGGAAGAAGTTGATGACATTCCTGAAAATATGATTGTGAAAGATGATCAAAATGTAGATTTATATTAGGAGTGAGCACATCTAGAAAGACAGACAAATAGTTCTTTACTCTCACCCCCTTGAACAAGTACGATGGTTCTCCAGAAGAAATGGACCACAATAATATGGTAACTAATTAATTTAGGTTCTTTAAACTCCAAACATTTCTTTTGGATTTAGCAGAGAGGAGCTAGAGGAACTATATTAGTTCACTCAGAGATTAGTCATTAGAGGTTATAACCCACAATTCAAAAAGAAAATACCTTTTATTCTGGGTGAAAAATGAAGTCTCATATGGACAGTATTAGTAATAAACATTAAATATGATACCAGTTAGTTTAAGCTTTATCCAGCACCAGTAAAATTCACTGCATAGCAAGTAAAAACATTTAACAATATTCAAATCTTATGAGTACAGGTACGATTTCCATCAAAGCTTAGGCATGCATGCTAGAATTATAATCCGTTTAGCAATATACTTCAATACTCACTTTCTTAAGCAATTGAAGACTCATAACAGTCTACAACCACAGCACAATGTAATGACAATAAAAACCATCAAACTACTCCATTTAATGAGGTAGTGAGTGACACAGAAATTAATGGAGCAAACAGTCTAGCAAATGGTTATACAATTAATCAGAAATCTGCACACGGCAAGTAAATATGGAACTTAGACTCAAACAAGTTTCTATAAGAATAGATACAGAAATTACCAGTAAAGCTTCATGTGAGTGGTCATCCAGAAGGCAGAAAGCGAATGACTCGAGTAATGAATGTCTGCTTATACCAAAGGAGCTTGCAAAGTCATCAATGATATCCCTCCATTCTTCCTCAGGCCTTCTCCAATGCCGATCAAACAGGAAATACACAAACTACATCTCAGTTAAGAAAAATTCAATGACCGTCAATAAAAACATGCCCAAAGAACAAAAGAACCCTAAATGAAAATCAAGTTAGAAAGACAGGATACAATTGCTTGCTTGGCAAGCACCAAATCAGAAGCACCACCTAGAAAGAGGATGTCCACAGCAGCTCGAAGACTTTCAAATGGATAACATCCTGCAATGCCCCCTATTTTGGACTGGAATAAGGACAAGGCACCATTCTTCTTCAAAAAGGCAAAATCTGACTCTTCCCCCATCTCATATATGTCAAGGTTTTCTAGTGCATCTTCAATAAAAAGAGAAGCACCCTGTCCAGTGGAGTCTGCTGAGAGATCTAACAGCTCAGGCGGAGGCCACGCCGCGCAATTGCAGCCGATTTCCTTTCACGGACATGAATACGCCAGGATGTGTAATCAGCATGACGAGACCTCACATCTTCTAAGAATTGGTATCTTATACACCATATTGTGATCTCCAGATGCTGAAAATTTAAAACAAATATTGTCAAAAATATCGATTATTGCATGATTTTAAGATTGTATATTTGTTTAATTTGTCCAGTGAACTGCTAAAACAGTATCAATGCCGGCCAGCAATAATGTACAGTACCAAAAGACAAAAGATTAGCATAACCACATTGCCTCAAGAAGATCAGATAAATGAAATGACCAAATGAAAGCCATTAATTTCTCACATACTCCAAGCTCCACCTGCCAATTTAATTACTAAGCTGATTTTCAAGATTGCAGGTTCCGAGACATTGCTACAAACATATTGCTCATAAAAGATGCTAAAATATGGTTAAACATTGACTTAACAGAATCAAACCTGCTTTGTCTTCAATATGCTCTCTTGAAGGTTGCGCAAGTCATGAAGCTGTGCTGAAAGACGACCCTTGAAAGATGAGTCCAAAACTTCAAGTACATTGGATAAGCTGGCCAGATGTACAGAAAATTTTAGAAGTGAACCTAACCTAT